CATGTAATCACAACAAACATCAAACAAATCCAAACTGAGGAACATTCTAAAAAATAACTGACCAAAAGACTAAAGTATTGTCAGAGACTGGTGAAACCAAAGATGACATGACAACTAAGTACAATGTAGGATCTGGGAATGAATCTTGGAACAGAAAAACGTCATTATAGGAAAAACCAATGAAATCTAAATAGTTTATACTTTTATACTGCAGCAATTTTAATTTCTTAGTTTTATAATTATAGTTATGCACTATGTTGATGTTAGGGAAAGCTGAATGAGTGGTTGGTACATGGAAACTCTCATAGTTTTAGAATTTTCTGTAAGCTTAAAGTTATTTTAGAATGAAAAGTTAAAAACTGTCCCCTATGACTCCAAATCTTATGAAGAGTTAAGGAGAGAAGAGGTCAGAGTATAATCTGGTTTTTCAGATACACTCTGACCTTCTCTCCCATGCCTCTCTCCACTCTCCTTGCTCCAGCTGCCCTGTCCTCTGTCAAGCACACCCCCTGGCTTTTGTAATTGCTATTCCCCTGCCTAAACATTCTTTCCCATTTACCTGTGTATTAGCCTCCCACTCTTCTTTAAGGAATATGAATTCATATCACTTTATCAGAGAGGCCTTTACTAATTTTCCTCGATAAAATACTCTCTTCCTCCATTATGCTGTACTTCCCTTTATTCTTTTTCACAGCAGTTATTACCATCTATGCATCTATTTATTATTGGCCTCCACCATTAAATTATGAGCTCCTGCGCGCAGGGATTTTGTCCATTTCCCTTATCACTGTATCTCTAATATCTAGAACAATAATTGTTATATAGTAGGCGCTCAAAACTTCGCTGAATGAATGAATGAATGAATGACTTATCTCAAACATCAAATCAAAGCTTTATGGCCTGCACCTTACCCCAAACTGTCAGATGCTATTCAGAGTATCCTGTGCAGAGCTATTTGCCTGTATTTAACTGAAAGCACAAAGATATCACAGCAGTGCCATTTTGTTATAAAAATGAAGAAAATAAATCAAGGTTAAAGGAAGAAGAAGCAAATGATAATATATTAAAGAGGAAAATGGGATACTAGTTATTTCACAAAGATGCTACACTTTATTTTGTGTCAATTTAACGATTAAATGTATTCATTTGGTTCATAATATTTTAGTTATTAACAATATTCTGAAGAAGTCATTGGATTTAAATATTATCCATGGTTAAGATTAATAATTGTTCTGCAGTTAGTTTTAAAAACTGTCACAAAGCTCCTAGTCCCTTACTTTAGCACTTAACAAACTGAGACTCATTTGGAAAATACCGTGACCAGGCTCTTACTGAACCTCACTAGCTAGTCACATAAACAGAGAGTTGTCATGTGTTATGGACTTGACCTAGGGAACTGAGTGTTTCAGGAAGATCAAACACACTTAACTGTTGACTGATGGCAGTTTTAATGACTATGGCGAAGTTTTCTCTAGTTGTCTGTAAGAGCAAATAATCTGTAGAAACCACTGTTCACTTGTCATTTATTTGTCATTTTCCATGGTGATTATCAAAAGATAAATACTATAGTACATTAACCATAATGTGCATAATTTATAGTGGCATTGAAGAGTAGCAACACTATCAACAGTGGTCAAGTTCCAGGTCAAAAGTATGTTATAAGGATCAAGAAAGAAAAAGTAGGGCTGCAATTGTAGCTCAGTGGTAGAACATTTGCCTAGCGTGTGTGAGGCACTGGGTTCCATCCTCAGCACCACATTAAAAAATAAATAAATAAATAAAATAAGGTTATTAAAAAAAGAAAGAAAGAAAAAGTATTACCAGTTGTTTCCCTGATAGAAAAACTATAAATCATAGAATATAAACACTAATATGACTGAAATAAGCATAAACAAAACAAAAAGAAGAATTTAATATAGAATTATCTATACTATACAACTTTCATAGAATAAAAGGGATAATTAAGATGCATATGCACTCAAGCTTTAAGTACTGACTCAGCTGACTCAGTGGACCCGCATACTCTAGAAGTGGTTTATGGATAAGCATTCTAAAAGAGAGAGAATGCAGGACTTAGGCTAATTATAAAAGACTAAAAATGTAGTAAAATCTTGGTAAAAATGTGTATTTTTTAATGTTAACTATGGAATTTCACATTTCAACACAACATTTACAATGTCAATGTTTGAGTTTAAATAGTCTGCTCAACTTTGGGCTAAAGGAAAGGTGACTAGAAAATTCTCTGATCCAAGAGTGTAAAATTAATGTCTTAATAATACAAATGAAGCTGAATTTTATGGGTACCATTTCATTTCCTTAGAAGCACTTAGGATGTTGATAATGAAAAATAAAATAACTCTTCAGAACTTTGAATATAGGACCACCACTGATTTTTTTTTAAAAAAATTTAAATCATTTTCCCTACTCTTGGCAAATAACAAGCATTGGAGCTTTCAAGAATATTATATGTCTTTGGTTCTCTGTGATGCTCAAGTAAATTTTTGAGTTACTGAAATAGAAGCTTTAATCATTCTGTACATGCTACAAAAGAAAGCTCTAGAGAAACAAGAATTGCCCAAGGTTAGAAATTTCATCTGCTATTTAACTACAGGCCTCAGAATTAATCTATGAAAACATTTTTGGGAACTACATAAGGCATATGTTTGCTTTAGTTTGGCCAATCAAGGTGCAAACCAGAAGATATCTAACTATTTTATTTATCTAACTATTTTATTTATCTAACTATTTATTCCCCATCCTTTCCCCCAGTGCTGGGGATAGAACTTAGAGCCTTGCATATACTGGGCAAGTGCTCTACCACTGAGCCACATAACAGGAAATACATTATAATGAATTTCCCTGACTAGTTAGTGAATTCCCCTTACAATATGTGGTATCTCAAGAGTCTTTTCAAGGTATAATTCATATTCTATCACAGAAAAAAGGTTTAGTTTGTTTCCAAACAGAAAAGAATACCTGGAGAAAATTCTGGGTGTCATATCTGAAGACCAATCAAAGAACAAATATTTCAACATTATCATACTGAAGATACACATCAGACTTTTCTGTTATTTCTAATATCAATAGCTGACATAAAAGGAAACAACCTATTATTTTATGTGTTTTATTTCTTTAGCTGTACAGAGAATTAATCCTATTTTTTCCTCCTCAGGTATAAGACTCAAAAAACTCTAGGACTTAAGTGTTTTTCTTGCACAAAGGAAAAAGAATTTATAACTATTGAACAACTGCATAAGGTTCTAAAACACTCAAGAGTTTGTTTACAATTGTGGAACCTTGAAAAAGACCAGTAGGAAATAAAAACTCTTAAAAGTCTTTGAAATTGCAACAAAATACTAAGTTATAAAATCAATAACTTTTGTAAAGTTGAGATTCTAAACAATATTATTTAAACTATTGTCTTTACAAAGAAAATATTGCTTTATTTCCTGAGCAGAATATATAATAGATTAGCTAAAAGAAAAACAGTGTTTAAGAAAAAATAGGAAAATTAAATGATAAATGATAGATCCAAATGAGAATTACATGATTCACTTTCATTCTCTTTTATGAATTTGTTTTAAGAAGGTGAAAACTCTTTTTAGCATGAAATGTACATTTTCACTATGCTATACCATATGTAAATAAGTAAACATACCTGTTCTGATTTAAGTACATAAAGTTCCTGATGGAGTTTATCATTTTCACTTGATTGATCTGTCCCAGGTGAGGATTCATTTGTTACTGATGGTGAAAATAACTGTTCTTGCTTGCTTTCTCTTCTAATAGCCACATTTTCAAAAGAAATTTTCTCTTCCACTACTGTTTTTGATTCTTCTCCAAAATCTTCACCTACATTAGATAATGATCCTTGAGAATCCTTGCTTATAATAGTTACTATTCCATCTTGTAAAGAGCTTAAATGAACATCACACATGTTTATATTTTCTGCTCTATGATGGTTAATTAGGAGTTCTAGCTCTTGACATCTCAATAGAATTTTCTCTTTTTCTTGCTTTAAAGATTTGACTTCTTCACTGAGAAAATTAACCTCACCATGTTTCTGTTTTAATTGTTCAGAGAGATCAGACAGTTTCTCTGATAATTCTAGCTTTTCTCGCTTGGTTACCTCAAGTTTTTCCATAAGTTCTGTTGTATCTTTCTCAACAACTTCACAGATTTCTAATGGCTCTGCGACAAAAGCTTTGTCAGTATCAAGCATGGCACTTTTCACTTTGATTGTAGCTGGATTTATTCTTTGTAAATGAAGCTCTTCATTAAGTGCTTTAAGTTTACTTTTATACTCTAATTCTTGTTTGTTTTTACTGTCTTCTAAATCATCTTTTACCTTGAGAAGGCAAGTATACTCCTCCTGTAACTCTTGATAGTTAACTTCAAAATTTTTTTCAGCAAATGAAAATGTACTTCTTTGCTTTTCAATTTCTTCATTTAGCTGAATACACTGTTGCTTGAGGGCCTCATTCTCTTTTGTAAGCATTTCCATTTCTTTTTGCCAGCTATAATCTTTGGATATGGACTTGCTGGAGTCAATGAAAATCAATTTTTCTTCTTGTTCAGCAGGAACATAAATTTTCAACATGTCCTCAATAGCTTTTTTCTCATTTTTAAGAATGTTATTTTCTGCTTCAAGTTGTGAAAACTTTTCTTTAAGGTCATCCTCTTTTTCCTTTATTTCTTTCTCCAATAATTCAATTTTAAGTTGTAATTCCTGAACTTCTTGTTCAAGCGTACATTTTTCTTTTTTTTCTTGCCTTAATATTTCGATTTCCTCTTGGAGTTCATGCATCTGAAGGGTCATTTCTTCTGATTTTGAATCCATGATGGACTTCTGTAAATCTTTTAGTTTTGAAATTTCCAAAACCAACTGATTCTGCTTAGTTATCAAATTGTCTTTTTCAAATTGCATTGTTTCTATCTTTTGACTTATTTCATTTTGTAAGCCATCTATCTGCTGTTTATAGTGAATGCCTAAGCTATCTTTAAGTTCTTCAATATTTATTCGATGTTCAACTTCTAAATCTTCTTTTAGTTTCGAAAGTTCTTCTTCATGACTAAATAGAAGCTGTGTTCTCAGCCTCTCTAATTCAGCTTCTTGTGATTCAGCCATTCTAATACAGCATTTTTTTCTTTTTCCAACATTTCAAGTTTTAGCTTGCAATTTGTAACTTCTGCTTCATGTTTTAACTCTAGTTCTTTCCTAGATTCAGATGCCAGAACAATCTCAGCTTTTAAAGCTTCCACTGTACTAAGGGACTTATGTGCTTCATTCAGTTGACTTTCTTGTTCAGCTATTATCATTCTAGCTCTCTGAATTTGGTCCCTTAAAAAGTTCAGTTCTTCAAAAATGTCATCAAGTTGTCTCTGCAGAGTAGATTTTTCTCCTGAAACTATTCCTAGTTCTTCTTGGAGTTTTTCCTTTTGAGCGTTAATATCTTGTAATTTCATATTCAGTTCATTTATTGCCATGTTCATTAACTTTATTTGATCTTCATTAATTCTAATATTTAAATGTGATTTTAAAACACTCTCAATTTCTTCCTTATGTTGTGCTTTAAGTTCCTCTATCTGTGACATGTGTTGCTTTATTAACTCTTGTTTCATCTGTACTATCTGTTGCCCATACATTTCATCCATCTCTTCTCGGAGTTGCTTTAATCTTTTCTGCATTTCTTGTTCCACCATTCTCTGTACCGCATCAGATTCAAACTGGCTATCTGTGTAATGATGTCTTTTCTGAAGGTCTTCAACTTTACCCATAAACTGTTTTATTTCTTCAGAACATTGTTTTTCTTTTTGCTTAGAATTAGCCAGCTCTAATTTCATACTTGCAATTTGTTCTTGTAATTCTCTCATTAATTTTTCAGTGGCTGTGACTTGATCTTTTAGCTCAAGATTCTTTTTTTCTTCTATTATTCTTATATTTAATGCCTGGATGATTGCCTCCTTTTCCTGTAATTCTTTTTTATTTGACTTTTCTACTTCATCTTGTTCCTTTAGAAAGAAAAGAAAATGAAAAAATATAAGAATGACATTTTTAGCTTCTGGCAACTTCTTATGGGTGTCTCCTTTTTATATAATTCTATAAAAAGCAACTGTTGGGCCTGCCCCCCGTTTTTCCCAGTACAAGGAGACTAGGACTTATCTACCTGACAGTACATATGAGCAAACAATATAACAGTTTTACCCTTCTTGGAAAGAAATTTCTCTTACATTGTGCTGTGATTAAATATTTAAATTTAAAAATGCAATCTAATTTGCCTAGCATGTGTGAGGCCTTGGGTTTGATCTCTAGCACCACCAAAAAAGCAAAACAAAACAAAAACCAGTCTGACTAAAATATCTATATAAACTATCACATTTTCATTTTTCTTATTAACTGGTCAACATTCTAAATATTAAGTATTTCTGATGGCTCGTTATAATACTACATACTCTCTAGACACTCTCAGAAGACACAAAAATATAAAAACCAGTCCTCCCCTGGATTCTCAGAAGAAACAAAAAAAATAAATACCGGTCCTCCCCTGGATTCTAGTGATTTGAAGGTATTTCATGGACAAGTGCTATAAAATGAGAAAAACAACAAGAACTAAAGTGGATTCCTTTAAGTCTTCCTTAACTTCATTCCTGGGGTTTTAAGTGAATCAGAAATTTAGGGATATGCAATGCTTAAGTGACTGAACATCGAGTGACACCTAAGAACACTACTGTATATTTACGGCATACCAACTTGGGCTTAGACCCACAGTTCAAACAGAAATATAAAAGACCATCAGATAATTTTCCCCAGTTCCTATCTGGAGACTCAATTTTGGAACTGGAGATTAGGCTAAGACAAGACATATTAACGCATATTCATTAAACAGTTAAGAGCTGTAGTCCCAAAGCCAAGGAAATAAGTGAAATCCATATAACTGATGAAAATATGGGTAAGGAAGTAAAGTTATCTTAAGGAGACAGGAGTCCTTGCCAAACAGGACTTCTAGGCACCTTGAATGAATGTACTAAGAAAATGTAGGCATTGATCAATTGAGTATAGTTCTTGGAAGAAGACCAACGCACCGTCAACCTTTGAGAAGTCTGATCCCTCTCGAAAAACCATACTTAATGCAGAAAACAATGTTGGGAGTTACAGCGAGGAGCATTTAAGAAGTTTAGTCTACAGACATGAACATTACTACTCTGAGATGGATGTAACAGGTTATCTCAACCTCATGCCACTGAACATCTGATTCCTCCAACACCCTTTTCATCTAATACTTAATAAACAATTTTTTAAATTATTACCTAGCTTTTAAAATTCATCTGTCCATAGAAAGAAAATAAAATCCAATGAGCTTAAAATCTGAAATTTGTGATAATTATTTCTCATTGTAAATTCACAGTCTTATAGACTTAAACATTAACCTCTTGAACTAATTCACCTCTGATATAGCTCAAGAAAAAAAAATATGACTTCTGAGCCTAACAAATAAAGGCCAAATTTTGCACTACATAAACCAAGGTTATCTTGGCAGCCTCTTGAGTGAGACTATGAGCTGTTGTCTTAGTATCACATATTCCTTTTCCAATTACATCATATGTTATTACCAAGTGCTGAGCCTTCTTAATTTCTACACTAGAATGCAACAATAGTAAATTAGTTTAATCTGTTAATCCTGGTATTTCTGTCTGTACAATAAAGATAAATTTTCTGTATCTCCCAGAACGTGTTTGAGGCTAAAATAAAATAATTAAGGTATTTTATTTTTACTGAGCTTTATACAAATATATTCATATACTAGAAAGAAATTTATAAATCATTTGGAACCTATATAAAATGTAAAATCAGGACTGGGGCTGGGTCTCAGAGGGAGAGTGTTTGCCTCACGAGACGAATGAGGCACTGGGTTCAATTCTCAGCACCACATAAAAATAAATGAATCCATAAAGATATCGTGTCCATCTACAACTAAAAAAATTTTTTAAAAAGTAAAATCAGTTCATGATGGTCAATTTTAGCTAAACTGTTAAATAATAACTAGTTTTGAAAAATGTTAACATTGATATAAAAATCTGTTATAATTTTATTTCCTGATTTTCTATAAGATGAAAGGAACACTCCTCATAAAAGAAAATAACTTAATTCAACACTGTCCAACACCTAATATGATTAATAAATAACTAACCATAATTCTTCATTCAACTATTAAACACCACAAATTCACAGTTTTCTTTGTTTAGCTTTTTTCAAATTACACGGTTTTAAACCACTTGTTCTATGTTACAAAACTGACAGCCCTTCAGACAAGGATGTAATCCTCTATTTTTAGAACTACACCTGAAAGAGTGGGGAATAATATATACTTCCTGTTTGTGACTACTATAACACAGGAGGTTTGGAGGATTAGGATAATGAGCCTTTGACTATCAGTATAGTTACTTCAGCTGCTCTGACAGAACTACTTCTCAAAGGGATTAAATTTTTTGAAAACTGAGAAATTAAAATATAATAATAAGAACAATAAAAGTATTATTGCTAACATTCAAATAAACAGTTTATTTTCATTACTAAAATGAATTACATAAATTTTAGATAATCTGAAATTATACTGCCTAGTGACAATAAGAAATAATAAAATCCTAGATCCGGGCACTTTCAACCTAGGCCTCGATTGTCTTTCTACTCTTACTCTCCAGAAAGATACTTCCAAAGCCTATTGCTTTCGAAGTAAATTATTTTTTGCTCCCTATACATTTTCAACATTTTAGCCTGGGTCTTTATGCCCACTCCACACCCCACAAAGAATATCCTGCCTATCTCTATTTGTCATGAATTCATAAACAATTCTCTTGATTACCAAATAGGTATTGAATAGCTGAGCTGTTCCATATATTATGTTCCATATATTATACCAATTTATGGGTAAACAAAATATAAATAACACATTATTCCAATTTATAGATCTAACTCAAATATTACCTCTCTGCTGATGTCTACCCTGAATCTTTTCCTCATAAAGCAGACCTCGTCAAAACATTGTTACCTGCACTTACTTTTTATTTTGTGGTAACTTGTGTACATGCCACACCTCTCCATGGGTTCAGTGAAGAAAGGGGACATCTTAAGGTTCATCATATATCTTTTGCAAGGGTTACTACAGAATAGGTATTCTGTAAACACTTGCATAATCTTTAAATTACCTTAGTTGAAAAGCATGCCCTTCTCATAATTTTAATTTGTACATTTCCTATTTTTCAAAGAGGAGTCTCTGGAGTCAGATAACTGAGCTTTGAAATTTGGCTCTATCAATACATCACTTCTGCACCTGGATTATTTCTTTCATCTTGAGTTGTCTTGGTACCATCATTTGTAAAATGTAAATGATAAAGGTACCCTTATCTCATAGGGTAGTAGTGATGATTCAATGCATTAATATGTGTAAGAGGCTTTGAATTCTGCCTGTTGTAGAGTAAGTACTTAATAAGTGCTAGTTAACGCTTTTGTTATCCAAACAATACTCTTGTCTTGGTAATTTCTCAACTTCCTGTAGAATCTTCTAAGTTTATAAAATATGCTGTATTATATGTATTTTCCATCTTCATTATTCACAAATGCTGTATTTGCCTACTTGCTCAAATTTATTTGAAACCCACAAATCCATACCAATGGTGCTTTCATAGACATTTGTAGACACACACAGAGTTATGGCAAGAAATTTGAGTTACTGTAAAATGATGTTCAGCTACATTCAAACATGGTGATCACACTGCCTTGTTTCAGCTCTCATAGAGCAAAAAAGAGGACAGAGATGGCAAGGATCAGAGTGCAGTGTAGTGCAAGGAGCTCAGAATTTCAACTCTGGCACCTGTTAATGGGGCAGCTTCAGGCAAATCACATCTAAACTTCAACTTCTCAAAAAAACAAACAAACAAAAAAATGGAATCTACTAGCATGAATTGTTTTTAAGATTAAAGATTACAATCCATGTGATACATTTCCTACCAGGAGCACTTATTGACTAAATAATTCCCCCAAACTGGAATATAACTCAAGTGAATAAAAAGAATCAACCACATTTTTTTCTAGTTTAAATTTACAAAATTTCTTTTTCAGAATTTTATAATCATAGCTAAAATAAGAAGAAATACATTTAGTTGGGGGAAGAAGGATAGAAATTCTAGTTATAAAAATAGATTCTCCTGAGACTTCAGTTTAACATAGGCAGATCACTTTTAAGGAGTATTGCCCTTCTCGGACTATTCCCTGAAGACCTTAAAAGAGCATACTACAGGGATACTGCCACATCTATGTTCATAGCAGCACAATTCACAATAGCTAGACTGTGGAACCAACCCAGATGCCCTTCAGTAGACGAATGGATAAAAAAAAATGTGGCATTTATACAGCATGGAGTATTACGCAGCACTAAAAAATGACAAAATCATGGAATTTGCAGGGAAATGGATGGCACTAGAGCAGATTATGCTAAGTGAAGCTAGCCAATCCCTAAAAAACAAATGCCAAATGTCTTCTTTGATATAATGAGAGCAACTAAGAACAGAGCAGGGAGGAAGAGCAGGAGGAAAAGATTAACATTAAACAGAGACATGAGGTGGGAGGGAAAGGTACAGAGAAGGGAAATTGCATGGAAATGGAAGGAGACCCTCAGAGTTATACAAAATTACATATAAGAGGTTATGAGGGGAATGGGAAAAAAAAACAAGGAGAGAAATGAATTACAGTAGATGGGGTAGAGAGAGAAGATGGGAGGGGAGGGGAGGGGGGATAGTAGAGGATAGGAAAGGCAGCAGAATACAACAGTCACTAGTATGGCAATATGTAAAAACGTGGATGTGTGACCGATGTGATTCTGCAATCTGTATTTGGGGTAAAAATGGGAGTTCATAACCCACTTGAATCCAATGTATGAAATATGACGTGTCAAGAGCTTTGTAATGTTTTGAACAACCAATAAAAATATAAAGGAGCAGAGTAATGAGTAGTATCATCTTTAAAACTATTACTACGAAATTCTCAATGCTTTTGAAATACATTATTTTACATACTCAAAGAGTTTGTCTCAATTATGAAATTTTGTGGTGCATATGCATAAAAAAAGATAAACACCTCCATTAAAAACTTTAAAGTTAATTACAAAGCTGCTACAAGTAGGTTGACTTCCTTAAGATACACATACCATTTCATATACTTTAATTTTCTCCTGTAAGAAATTAATTTGCATTTTGAAGTCTTCTTTCTTTTTTTGATAATCTTCTAATAGATGGTCTTTTTCTTCAAGCTGTTGTTGATGAGTGAGAATCTGTTGTTTGGCTTGCAGTAAATCTGCAGCTGTGTTACTGTGAGTGCTGTTTCGTAGAGTTTCACTAGCCTGCAACTTGAAAATAGAAAGAAACCTCAAAATATTAAATTTTGAAGTGACACTTTATCGTACCCTCAGCCCACAGGGGTTCTCTGGAAACTATGCTCACTTCATAGGCTTACGATCTCAGTCAACATGTTTCCATGCTGTCAACATGCTGATAGGTCATGTGCACTTTGGGTAATGAGCCAAAGAATTTACCTTTCACATTATAAAGCTGAGAAAATAGGAGAAATAAGACAGGCAGACAGGCAGAGAAAAATGCGGACTGAAAGTTCTTCCTGGATTCCTGATGACTTTTCAAACTCTAGTTCCAATTTCTCTTAGAGTTCTGATTGTATTTCTGCCCTTAAGTTCTATAAACAAGCCTGTATTCTTACCTTAAATTCCTCCCTTTTGTTTAATGCAATTAGATTATAGTTCCAACTAAAGATAAATGGAATATATCCAGTTGTCAGTCTAGTTATAATTGAGAACCTAATTAACATAAAACCATACCAGGGTTGGAAAAAGTAGGGTGTAACTGCAGGTTAATTTCTGCAAAAAATATGAGATTCAAAACACATTAGTGGAATTCTTACAATTTGTATGATATCTCCCACATTTGAAAGCTATGAGCTTTAAGAAATTTGTTTTACTTCCAAATCAATCTGAAAGAAATTAATGTGCACATGGAAAAAATTTTCACTTGTTCTGGCTTTTCTATATATCTAATTCTAGAAGCAAATGCCTTTATATTGGGGAGCTCCCCCAATCTGTTACCAGGCAACACCACCAACTTGTTTTTGGAGAGGATGAAACTGAAATCTATTCTGTCATCCTCATTAATGTCCCATTTTCATCTTGAGTTCATAACTGATGACTTAATACAAGAGATGTCACTCTAACTGCAGAGAATATTTACAGGGACTTGCTGACATTCTTAATGGGTTTAAGTCATCATTTTTAAAAAAATGTGATTTATACCACAATTTTCTTTCAGGCTCATTAGAAAAACATCTGTCCTGAAATCACTAAAGTTATTCTACTCTATCTTATTAAGTTAAATAAACAAAGTAACATACATGTTACCCCTATTAGTTGAATTCTAGGTGTAAAATGGGATTCTTAATACTATGTGCAAGAACCCCATTTTTCTCGTGAATGAGATAATCTTAAGTTAACACCTGTAATTCTCATTAAATACATAAACTATTATTAAAATTTCCTGGAGGGCTGGGGATGTGGCTCAAGTGGTAGTGCAATCGCCTAGCATGCGTGAGGCACTGGGTTCGATTCTCAGCACCACATAAATGTAAAATAAAGATATTGTGTCCACCTAAAAAAAATGAAAAAATAAATATTTAAAAAAAAAATTCCTGTTTTTGTTTTTGTGAGTAGCAAACAAAAGCCACAGAAGGTCAATGCACCTGATGCCATCCTTCAGTCCCAGAAGTGGCCCTCATTTCTTCCAGTTCTCTGTTCAGGTCTTCGGGCTCATGTTCAGGTCTCCCAACTGATTCGCTTTCTATCGACTCTAGGCGCGTCTCACTATAGTGTGCGCCTTGTTCAGAATAAGAATCAACGACACCAAGTTCTTCTTCCTAAATCAATCCAATATTTTTAATAATTCAGTACTAGCAACATTCCTGAGAGAGGAATTCGAATATTGAATTCCATAGCAAAATCCACTTTAAAACATCACTCTTCACTTTGAAGTTCACTTCTATGGCAATCTGGTTTGCTATTAATGTGATATTTCCTTAAAAGCACCTAAACAGCATATCTGCAAATTTTCTTCCAATTCCATGTTATAATGAAAATGAGGTAACTTTGTTTTGTTAAGCAGTAAAGAAGATCTAATAACTTTTAGAAATCACATACAGAAAGAATAACATACAGGAGAAAGCTTGGTTAGTAAGTCAAATGGTTTTAAATAATAAAAAACATTAGTATCATGAGTAGTTTTATATACTGTACCATCAATAAATTGGTAGGCTTTCCTGTTTTCACCACATTACAGCAATCATTTACCTGTATAAAAACAATTTCCTGATATATTATGATAGACCAAATTTTATTTACCTAACAATAATATTTCTACTGTGTACCTTTTGCATCTAGGGAAAATGCCTTAATAGCAAAACAAATATGGTGATTATATTTAACTGAAGTATCTAAGAGGCATATCAAATGTCAATCATTCCTCAAACATCTAAGTTCTTACACTGCAAAAGACACTTTCATTTAAGTAACTGAAATTCTAAGTGCAGTTCCTATTTAGTCTTCAGAAAGATAACTAAAAGCTTCAAGTTACTAGATCTTCTTTTACAAAATGCTTCCTTAAAATTAGCTAAATATATTTTTAAAATTAAGCCCTATTTATTTTCAAATAAAACCATTTACTGGTATAAATTTTATTAAAGGCTAGTAAGTAAGCCAAGGGAAATAAAGAGGTAAAGAACACTCCCCTAAGAACTTTCCTGTGGGGATAGTACTACTGCAAGTCATGCCAATCCAGACAGATGTGGGGGCTTTCTTTAACATATCACCACTTGTCTGTAGCACAGATATTTTGTAGTAAGAGAAAGGAGGATGATAGACTATGTATATAGGGTTTATGGAGTGGGAAATTAATTTCTTATCAATTAATCATTTAATTGCCTTTTTACCACTAAGAGTACAAAAACTAACTTCATTCCTGCCCACATTCCTGCCCATATCTTAAGCCTTCACAATTCTATGTTAATAGAACCCAGGAGAATGAAACTGTTAACATTGAAATATGTAGGACAGACTAGTCAGAATGTCTAGAGTTAGGATTAAGTCTGTATGAGCCATGACACATTAAAAAGTAAAAATCCTAGGACTGAAGATGTAGCCCAGTTGTAGAGCATCTGCCTAGCATGTGCAAGGCCCAATACCCACAACTGCCAAATAAAAGGGGGAGAGGGTCCTAACTAAGAGACTTTTTAAAAATCAGTTTGATTGCTCTACTTTTATTCTAAGAATAATCTCTGAGAAATAAAGCTAAAGGGAAGGCAAAAAAACAACTTTTGTTAACACATTATTGTAATTGGTGAAAAACCAAAGAATGTAGGAATACTAATTCTAGATAAAAGTCACTTGTGATAATTTTCAAATTATAATACTTCTAAATTTCAATTAGTTTTTTATGACTCAGAAATGACACATTCTGATTTTAGTACACACTAAAATTTCTATTTTGAAGTAACAGTGTAATAAAATGAATATTTGTAAATATCATCAAAGATCATGTCAAATATCATGTTATCGGTATTACATAAATTATTTATCCAGTATAATAGTTATATCTAATACCTCTATAGCAGATATTCAGTTAGTTCTCCTTTAATTCAGTTTAAACATATTTATAATGCCCCACAATGAGTCGGTTAGGATCTATCTCCAAGTACTTTCTGGCCATCATGTTGCCCATTGTAGAGTTGTCTTGAAGTGCCTGGACTGTTATGATCTGCTGAGTTCGCTGTTCAGCCCTGAGTGCTAGTCACAATGCAGCAGGTTGAAGACAGCCTACTGGAGGATTGTCACAACCTTCATAACTAATATTCTCAACTTCTTATCTAAGATTTCTTTCATAAGTTTGCAGAAGAGTTCTCAAACTTCACCTCACTCTCCATTTCATTCTTCTCATCCTCATCTTTAGTTAGTTGCAGGCCTTCCCACCAAATTTCCCAAGCTACAGCATGCCATACTCATCAATACACAACCTGAAAGCCCTGTTTCTCCACTCCACAAAAGCAGAGTTGCTATCTGATCTTTGCTCTCATCATGATGAGACCTGAGTCTCCTTCAGGCAACAGACATTTTTGACAGAAAAGTGATCTCACCTCCAGACTGGGAGGTATGATAGTCAAGCAGCTCAGAAAGGCATCAGCAGTTATTGGGAGTCCTCAGAGCTTCCAGGTTTTAGAGAGTTTAAGAGAATGCCTCTGACATTTTTTTCCCTGTAGTTTTCTTTATTTTGTGCCAGCTCAGAAAAAAGCTCAAGGCAAATTTTAACAATGTCTTTGTGAATGACTTTCAAGATTTTGCTCTGCTGGAGCATTTTCTTGGGAGATGTTCAGAGGCAGGTCCTCAGAGTCAACCACACCATGGATAATGTTGAGATAATTCTGGTTTGCAAGTACAAGGCTAGCCTGAGCAACTTAGAAAGTCAGTTTCAAATAAAAACAGCTGGGAATGTAGCTCAGTGGTAGAGCGCCCCTGGGTTTAATCCCCAGTAACATACACACACCCACACCCAAACAACAAAAATAAAAACTGTAATATGTTAATTTAAGAACATAGTTTTTCGAGCTGGGATTGTGTCTCAGCAGTAGAGTGCTCGCCTAGCATGGGCAGGACCTGGGTTCGATTCTCAGCACCACATTAAAAAAAAAAATAAAGTAAAGGCATCATGTTGTGTCCATCTACAAAAAAGATTCATATTCATTCTCTCTCTCTCTCTCTCTCTCTCTCTCTCTCTCTCTTAAAAAAAGGACATAGTTTTTCTATTAGAAGCCTACAATAAATTCAGACTTATGAAATATACTAAGTTGCTTAAACATTCAGAGTAAAGAATAACTTTCCATGTACTCTAAATTTAGGAGCAAAGAAATGACAATCATATCTAAAAAGAATAAGATAACAAAGTGATACTTATTGCAAACATATAAAGAAGGCAGGTATTTCTTAAGAGACCAATGCCTATTTTATAGTTTATCACCTAAAATAAAAATCATCATTGTCAGGCATGGTGATGCACACCGTTAATCCCTTCTCAGGAAGCTGAGACAGGAGGATCACAAGTTATAAGATAGCCTGGGCAACTTAGTGAGAATCTATCTTAAAATAAAACTGAAAAAGGTCTGGGAATGTAGCTTGGTGACAAAGTGCTTTCCTAGCATGTACAAGGCCCTGAGTTCAATGCCCAGTAACACACACGTACACACACGCACGCACAACACTACAGCAACATTAATTCCAATAAACATTTATACACACACACACACACACACACACACACTAGTATTCAAAGATTTGTAAAAAGCATTACTATAAAAATCATACTAATTATAAAACTTTTACTGTGCTAAATGGCTATCTTAAAATGGTCATGGATCCTAGAAATGCAGACTCAACTTTCCTAAAAACCAAAATAGGGCTGCTATATAATTAAGGATTAAGCAATTCAAACAGTTAAGACTTTAGCTAACCACTGGAAAAAGATACAGCAGTAAAATATAATTTTAATTTTTTCAATCCATTTATATTACATTATGTTAACTTAAATTATATTAAATATATATAGAAGCATATAAATTTATAAGAAATAAAGTACCAACAATCAATAATTTCAAAAAAATATCAATTTTATCTATGACATTTTTAATTGGGATATGCTAGTCTTACCTCCGAAGTGTTATCATCTGCTGTGGTTGAAATCTCACTTTTCGGCTAAAACAAGAATAAAACATGATTACAATTATGACATTTTTCCCCTGCTAAATATCATACTTTACAAAAAAAAAAAATCCTGCTTTACTAAGACGTTGCTGTTAGTAACAATGATAGAAAATTCACAAAAATACTATTAAAAAACTAGTAAAAATTATCCAAACCTTTAAAAATTCCATTTCATTATGAATTATGACTTATAATAATGCATATAAAATTTATCACAAGGCATTGTTATAAATACAAAAGTACCAAGAACTTTTACATATATAGTAGATGTCATCTGTAAGCCAAAAGCATCAAAGACACCATTCCTTTAATTCATGTAACTCTTTTAAATAAAACTAAATCCTTAACATGCCATCAGAAAAGTTCAAGTTCTTTAAAAGAATCATCAGTTCTTGATGCTAAAAAGTCAATGACTTTGTCAAGCTTCCCTCAGGTGGATGCTAATGACTTTTCACTGCCACTACTTTCTAGTTAGAGGTAGAATGTTTTAAAATCTGGATGAATACTTACATCAAAAGAAAAGACCTGCTCATGCTTAAGCATTTCTTCATTGTTTAGAGTTCTCATTATTGTGGATTCAGGCATCACGGCTGATCCAACACCCTGAGAACTATTTATCAACATCTCCTCACTCTTTGGTTGATCAATATTCAAGCCATGAACATCATTTTTACTGCTTGAGGTTTTCTTCTTTTTTGGCTTCTTATGAGGGTTTTGTCCATCCAATCGAGCTCTTCTTTGTCGAAACTGGGCAAGCTACAGGAAAAAAGTATCATTAACATCAATGATAATTTTTCTTTGGGATCACTTTCTTTAAAAGATCAAACTATCACCAAGTTAAAATGATGATAATAATATAGATGACTTCACAGTTTCAGAATAACTATTGGATTGAATATTCAGGTTGTAAAGGTTGTAAAACTAGGTACTTGTGAATGAACTTATTAAATATTGAGGGGTAAGAAATGAACATGTCAAGTCTAAAGAAGAGGAAATTACCTGAGTTAGGGGAATAACTATTCTATAACTAGAATAGGGGAATAGAGGGACTCTCATTCACAGTATAATCTCTGGATTTAAGATTATATGAAAATATACACAAAAACAAGGAGCTCCGAACACACTTGTTCTGTTCTACTACTTTATACAAAAGATATCGTCTATAATTATCTTTTATACAAAAAAGATAATTAGCCTATTAGCTATACAAATGCTCACTGCAGCCATATTTATAGCTGGAAAAACTTACAAGTAACTTAAAATTTTAAACAGCAGTGTTTTCTACCCTTTATCATTTGTCTGTCATCATCAGAATTTGTACCAAACCCTAGTCATCGTTACATTATCATTTACTTAATATATTTTAAACAGTGTATTTTCTTTAAGTTTATTTCAAAAGGAGATGGAATCTCTGGCATAAATTGAAAGTTAATATCACTTGTTATTTCTTTTAAGAGATAAGTTGAAAATAAAAGAAATAAATCTATTATTGAAATTTTAGTTAGAGGTTGCTGAAGGCTATGAAAAAAAATGGACAAAATAAAAGACTGTTAAAGGCAGACAAGCATCAAACAGATTTTCGTTATCATAAGCAGAAAGAAAACTGAAAAAGGTAAAAACTTTCTTACTATACTATCCAAAGTTTTTTAAGACCTAAAATATTTTCTTACCACCTAAAATCAGAAGTACACATTATATACCAGGTAACACTAGACTAATTATGGTGAACTTATATTAAAAATAACAATGAAAGCAATTGCTATTAAAGACTTTGTGATATAATAGCATGTATAAACTAGTATTGTAGCATATCTATTTCTTTTCATGAAAGGAAAATTACACTTCATTTTTAAAAAGATAAGGCAAGTCTCAGGCTCATAGCTTTCAATGATTATATCCAGTATGAATTTAAACATCATTATATTCATAGGCATAGGTAAATTCTGGAAAACTACAACCTTAACAACTTTTGTTGACATTTGGAGTTCAGATTACAGGTATTTTTCCTATTGCTCACTTACATTTTATTTATTTATTCTTAACAATTTTTTTTTGATGGACACAATACCTTTATTTTATTTATTTTTATGTAGTACTGAGGATCAAACCCACAGCCTTGTACGTGCTAGGCAAAGGATCTATTGCTGAGCTATTACTGTATTTTTTAAAATACAGTAAGTTTTCTGATTTTTATATAAAGCAACTACTGACAAAGACTTCTTAAATTTAATTTGAGCTCCTGAATCACTCTTAAGAGGAGAAAAAAGAAGACCACATGTAAGTTCCTTTCTGCCTTAAAAAGAGGAAATATCTGCCTAGAATTACCATGACTATTAACCAGACCAATTACAAAGACAGCAAATAAGTTTCTTATTATCTAAAGTATTAAAGCAATCTTGCTAATGTTACTATCAAAATATGTGGCAAATACATTATTTATAAATAACATTTTATACTTAAATTATCTGCTATAGATGAAGAAAATCATATAAACATGTCCTATTCCCTTAATAAAGATATTTAATTCATAAGTCAGAAATAGCTCATGATTATACTTACAGAGTATAAAAATATATCACATTTAACATTTTCCCCAGTTATTTAGTAACTACACAGTGTGTTGAGGAATAGGTGCAAGACCAGTTGCCTCTATTTGCACATTATTAAGCTGCTGGAATGTACTTGAACTACTTGGAGCATAGCAGATCATTCTTAAAAATAAACTAACTAGAATATTGGCAAATACTTTATCTATAAATAGAATCAGAAATCCAGGAGCATTATTTAAAAACATCCCTTAGAGAGAATGCAATGCCAAAAAATAAATACTAATAATGACATTTATAATATTTATACTCAGAAACTTATTGAAATATCATGTTTCTGCATTAGAATATATTTAGTCAGCAAAATTTATCAAGGCAAAGATGAAGATTTTGCTTAAAATTCCAAGTGTTAGATTATATCAATAATTTATATCTAATATTTATTCAAATGTCAAATATATAACAAAGGAAAAAATTATTAACTTTGCATTATAGAAAGAATGACTTAGGTCTGGGGATGTGGCTCAGTGGTAGAGTGCTTGCCTAGGATGCACACAGGGCCCAGGTTCAACCGTCAGCACAAAATGAAAGATAAATAAATAAAGAATGGAAAGTTTGATTTAAACAACAACAACAATAACAGAATAACAAAAAAACCCTCCAAAATAAGAAGATATGGAATAAAAAGTAGAAATAGTTCCATTATAGTATTTAGAATGAATCACTTCTACAGAATAATTAAAAAGATACTGTTCTAGGCCTATATTACTCATTATATGAGTCATATTATTTTTTCAGAAAAATTAACCAGAAGGTAAACCCCATGAGGGCAAGGACTTTTTTTCCTCCCTACTTCTATATATTAAAAGCCTAGAGCAATATTAAATAAATATGTTGAATTTTAATCTATTTTTTAAAAGAAAGAGAGAGAGAGAGAGAGAGAGAGAGAGAGAGAATTTTAATATTTATTTTTTAGTTATCGGCAGACACAACATCTTTGTTTGTATGTGGTGCTGAGGATCGAACCCGGGCCGCACACATGCCAGGCGAGCGCGCTACCGCTTGAGCCACATCCCCAGTCCCTATGCTGAATTTTTTTAAAGGATAATTTATCTTTTATTGAAAAGTCACCACACTAAGCAAGATCATATAAAAGGCATATCTAATTCTACTTTATTAAAATGTTCCATGGTTTCAAAATTAAAATGAACAATTTTCAAATTACTTGAATCACTCTTAAGAGGTGAAAGATAAAAGAATGAGACTAAGTAAATTTCTTTGTTCCTTAAAAAGACGAAATACATGATTGGAATTACTGTAACTATTAAATAGACCAACTACAAAAATGGCTAATGAATGAATAAGAACATAAAAAGAATCCTTCTCACTATAACCTCCCTCCTCCACCAAGAAAACTAAAACAGAACAAAAAGTTTCTCATAAAAATAATATCCACAATAGCTTTCTGGCAAGACTACTGTTTTATAAAAATTTGAAAGGAATAATATCGTATCATGTATTCAATTATTTATAGCTATTTAATTTTATTTTAAATTTGAAAAATGGCAAGCTAGCAGATGAGCAAAAAAATCTGAATCAATTAGATAACCATCTGATACTGAAATGATGCACTTTAAATTACTGAGAAAACATTTATTCTAAAACATGCTGAAAATTCAGACTACAGCCATCTGTGTTTGTCATTTGGAAGCCAATTATAAAAGTGTTAACATATGTAGTCACAGAAATAGTTGCAAGATTTACTGGAAAGATATTATGTTCACATATTTACCTTTCAAAAGTAGACCAGATCACAAGTAAATGTCTTATCTTGACCAGAACATGAATAAACAACTGAATATAAATATATTGAGTTCCTTAAACTCAATATTTATAATTTTATAAATGATCATTCTCAATAAAACAATACATTTTCAAAATGTTATATATAAAAACATGCCAAGTTTTTATAATGTTCCTTCAAAAATAAATGACTAATTGAAGTCTGTTTAGGTTTTTGTGTGTCCGCTGACTATTTACTACATGCTAGGCACTGTGCTAGACATCAGTGAAACACATGGTCCCAAAAGTAGAGCTTCACAGTGTAATGCCAAACTCTATTATTAAATGGAGTGAGAAATAAGGGTTAGAGCACAATTTCTTAAGCCTGACAATCGTTCATATATACATATATGGACAGCGAGAAGAGAGAGAAGAAGTGTGTTGTGTTATAGGAAACTGTATTGTCCTGATTTTCTTTAAAAGGGCCTTCCGAAAGAGATGTGTTGTAGTTTTATGCCTGGAAAGCATAAAAATTGGATTTATATCAGGTTGTAAGTATATAGTTCAGTTATTTAACAAATACTTATTGACTGCCTATCATGAGCTATGACAGGGCATGTAGTGATAAATAACACATATGAACTCTCATGAATTGTAATCCAGTAAGAAAGATAATATTAAACAAATAAAGAAATATGTACATTCAAGTTATAAAAAGTGCTTTGAAGAGAAAGTATATGCATTAAAGACAGCATACAATGGAAATTCAATTTGTGGGACTGTGGGGAGAGGTCAGAAAACATCTTACTAAGACAAAAATGTAGAAGCTGATATATAGAAGTCAATTTGTTAGGGGCTGGGGTTGTGGTTCAGCGGTAGAGCGCTTGCCTAGCACATGCGAGGCCCTCAGCACCACATAAAAGTAAATAAACAAAATAAATGTATTGTGTAGAAATAAAAAATATTTTAAAAAATCAATGTTACCTGATCAATATCATAACCAGTGGCAAAACAAAACAGAACTAGAGTATCTGACTCCAAATCCAACCTTTCATTATACTAATTTGCTTTCTATGTATTTTTAGGTCCTTTTTCATTGTATTTCACAATCCTAGAACATTAATTTTAAAGACATGAACAAATGAAATCACAAACTGACAAGTGTTTTTGACGAGAGGAAACACAAACGTGAAAATGCACATACCTCAAAGAGAATGCTACAAAAATATGTAATCTGCTAATCTCTATAGTATTTAAAAATAACTATAAAAAGTGATTTTTATGTTTTTCCTGTAGAAAATGGAAGAAATCCCAAATAATTCTAATTATGGTGACTATTTGTTCTTTTCAGGGCTGTCACTAAGCCTTTTTAATATTCCTTTATGGATGAAAAACAAGAAGCTATATAAACTATCACAGAAAAACTTT